AAAGTTGGGCTTAAATTACAACCCTGTCGTACACCACAATGCGTGACATAAGATTCAGTGAGGCCTTGACTACGTTTGATACAATTAGTAGTTTTAGAGTACATGTTTTAAATAGTTTGAAGAAATTTCCCCCTATACCAAGTTTGTTTAATTTGTATAGGAGCCCATTCCTCCATACCGAATCGAAATCTTTACTAAAGTCTACAAAACATGCAAATAGACGAGAATTTTGACTAATATATTTCCTAACTAAAGTGCTTACTTTGAAGAGATTGTCAGTTGTTCTAAAGTTTTTCCTAAAGCCCGCCTGATGTGGTTTGAATAATGTATTGTTTTCTAAATAATTTACTAAACGAGTATTCGAAATGGGCGAGAATAATCAACGTAAACACTCAACATTCATCATCCTAATATGAAGCCTTTCTCAGATATGACTTTCAGCTCAGCTTCATTAAGCGAAACCAGAATAAGCACCTCTCCGTCCGTAATGTGAATCAAATGATTGTATTGTGATGTCAAGACGTAATGAAGGACTTATTGTGCTAGGCTTTAACTATAAACGCGGTTGATGATGAAGAACATGATGAAGAAAATGCTATATTCTGTGTAGGTGAAAAACATCTCATTCTCTACTCCAACTATTTACTAACCTTTAGGAAATGCCGGTAGCCTTGGTCATCCAAGTAGTCCAGTGGTTTTCTCCCATTCTGTGTAGGGGAAAAGAGACTTTATACAATATTTACCTCCATGAAAAATGGAGGTATTGTTTTTGGTGTGTCTGTGTGTTTGTCTGTGTGTGTGTCTGTCTGTCTGTGTGTGTGTGTGTCTGTCTGTGTGTGTTTCCGCACATAACGTCAGAACGCCTTAGTGGATTGTGATAATATTTGGTCTGTTTGTAGGTCTTAGGAAGACAAAGTTCAAGGTCAAGTACCACCTCCTGGTGGCTGACCTTGGTACTGAAGCAGGACTTCCGTTTTCTTAATCTTTTGTCCTGAACATGCTATGGTCTTGGATTTTTGGTGACAGATAGCTTTTCCTGTCAGGAATAAATGGTGTGGGTTTCCCCCCCAACAGCTTGTTCTGAATCTGCAGGGGAGTTTCTGGCGAAACCTTTTAAAGCGGATAAGTCCAGAAAGGAACAACGTATCTTCATCATTTTTGGTATGTAGGATGAATTTGGTATGTAAGAGATGTAAATAATCTAATTTGCATAATTAACGAGGAAAGAAATTCTGTAATTACAGTGTTTTACAATATAGTACTTTCATACATGTAATGTATGTAATCTACGGCAGATGGAACATCAACACATACCAATTACGCAAATAATGACCTAGTTCGCAAAATTGAAGTGAAAATTCTGTGATTTCTGAATGGTGAATTTTATACCTTGTGACATGTGTATGTAAAGTTAAGTATATGTTAACATAACTATGCATATGTTGATATAGAGGTCATTTACATAATTAATGAGCACTTGTTGAATTGAAATATTGCCAAAGGATAGGGATTTCACAAGCAATATATAGATTATATAATATATATAGTTATATATATATATTATTGTAACTTGAGTTAAGAAAACCATAAATTAAACTAGATTATGGTAGGTACGACCTAATTTCCATAATCGATGAGACAAATCCCCAAAAACATTTACATAAACTCTACATATTTCATGGAGGTTTGAGGTCTCCTTATACTTGTTTAATTTAATTTGTTCCTATCCTTGCTACTTTGGTGTTCATGAAATGTGGTGTTAAATCTAGATTAACTACTGCACGGAGGAATGTATTCACATGAAGAAGGTAACCTGTTCAAATTGTAAGGTCTTAATTACAGTATGCTATGTGACAGCAGGTAACAAGATATACCCACCACATGCTGTCAAAAACAGCTAGGACATTGCGTACCTGTCTTCCCAGTTAAAACGTCCTGGACACCCTGTGTAATGTTTCTCGCTTAACATATTGAATTGAGCTTTTATGACACCAATCATCATTTAAGTCTTGATTTTCCTAGGGAACTTGAAACTTTCCATTGAACCAAAATCTGCTAAGGCTAATGGGCCCTAAACGCCAACGGATCATAGAACATTCAAAGATTTGTAGACATTTCTCAATCATCATTAACTGTCCCTTAGTCTTAGCTACATGAGATGATTGTCTGTACTTTATACCTCGGTCATCGCCTCCACATCAGCACCATGTTCAGTCAGCAGCTTCATTATCTCAGTCTGCCTGTTTGAGCTGGCCAGATGGAGTGCGGTCTCGCCACCCTGTGTAAACACATGCAGGAAGAAACTACTAGTATAAGTCTGCTGCACATTGGTTGATATACAAGCAGACCCTCAAGGACGGCAAAATTTTCTGTTTAATCATATAGCCGGGTGACGTTGACCAATCAGAAAGCTCTATTCCACATAACGCCGTCATGTCACAAATAGAGTCAAAACAGGTCTTTATTCATCGCAATCCATTCATTAAACAATCCAATAATCATCCGCAGTTGACCTCGGGTGACCCAAATGGAACACGACCCTGTTCTGAAAAATTCCAAAATAACCTGAGTTATGTTCCAATGACCTTGGGTGACACATAAGGAACACGTGTTCCCTGCCGATGACCAAAACAGAACACGACCCTGTTCCAATGACATGTTCCGGTGAACTCATATGAACCCTGGTAGAACAGGTAAAACGATCACACTGCAATGCGGTGTTAGATTTTTCCTTGAAGAACTGACTGATGCCAATTTAGACTCAATATGTGGGTCCCTGACATCGGGAAAGTTGCACAGGAACAGTGGCTAGCGGACGGGGAGTAACTGTAACGGTTTGTTATATGATTTAATTTGTATGTATACAGGAATGTGTCACTCTTTACTGTGTAAGTTTTGATAGGCTATATGATATAGCTTTAATGGCCCGCCCTTTCTCGGTGAATATGATCGATTTGATAAAGCCTTGTCAGTGCGCTCACTCGGTGGCTTTATTCGGTGGTTATAGCAAGGCTTTATTACACCATATTCACCTCGGGGCGGGTCATTAACCCTTAATTACAATGATATGACTATCTATCACTTTAAATCATTAACCGTATTACTTTGTCACATATGTAATACTATACATAACACCTAAATTGATAAGAATTTTTGTAGTCTGAATTGCATGAAACGTTTCTACTACTAGACTTGAACCTCTGCCATGGCTAATAGCTGGCCCGAAAAGTCAAGAAATCAGATAATGTTTCATGATAGTACATATTTCTCAAAGACTATTAACTGTCTCTTTATCCTAACTACATGAGATGATTGTCTGTACTTACGTTGTCCCTCGCCTCTAGATTAGCACCATGTTGAATCAGCAGCTTCACTATCCCAGTCTTCCCGTTTGAGCTGGCCAGATGGAGTGCGGTTCTGCCAATCTATGAAGACACACGGAGATACTACAACGCTACTAGGCCAGATTCATTACTTCAAAGAGACCCTCGAAGACAGTATGATAGAAGAAAGTCTTTAAAGTTAGCAATAATTACCTTCGCCAAGAAGGTTATGTTTTCAGTAGCGTTTGTCCGTCTGTTTGTCTGTCTATCTGTTTGTGAACAGCATGACTCAAGAAGCTTTATATGCATTGTCATAGAACGTACAGGTAGGTGGGTAGGTCTTGATGAGACCTAGCTAGAAATGATTAGATTTTGGGCCCCCTGCCAACTTCCGGTTTTGATATCCCATGATCTGGACATACTAGGGTCACGAATTTTGAATGATAGATAGCTCTTGGGCTACGGATGAAGTTTGGCCCCCCTAGCGGCTTTTCTAAAACTGCAGGAACGTTTGTTGAAAAATCTTTGAAGGAGGATAATTCAAGAACCGGTTGACAAATTGTCGTGATTTTTGGTATGTAGTTAGCTGAAGTGATACTTGACATAATTAGATGACAATTATCCAAATGAGGAGCTAATTAAGATAATTAATGAGGTATATATTTTATAAATTTGCTTCGTTTGATAAAAGGACTATGAAACTCATGTAATTGAGAACGAGAGCAACATCTGAAGATATAGATTATGTAAATAAAGACCTAATGTGCATAATCAATGGGAATTTGCAATAATTTCTTAGTAGTAACTGCTGGAAATTTCATACTTGCCGCATCTGGAAGTTAAGTGAAGGTGAACATCAATACAAATAATCTATTTTTGCATAATTTACTAGGAAGTGCTAGAATACCATTTTTTGTTAAGATAAGGCTGTCATTGGGTGATGTAATTCATGAAGATGAGGCTCTTATTTGCAAAATCAATGAGTAAAAATGTATAGTTTGTCCACCGAAAGGGTTAACATCATTTGGCTAAAGTATGAGGTCGTGGAACTCTTGTTATTATATCTATCTTATGAGCCGAGTATACTTTAAATTAAAACGTTATGGTTATCCATCATTTTCAAACCTAAATATTGTTCAATGACTTTGTTACATATGTATACTTAAGGCCAAAAAGTCAACAAATCAGATAATATTCACAGGATAGACATTTTTCAACCACCATAAATTCTCATTTTAACTAGATGAGATGATTTATTTACCGTGTCCCTCGTCTCTACATCAACGTCATGTTGAATCAGCAGCTCCACTACCCCAGTCTGGCCGTTTGAGCTGGCCAGGTGGAGAGCAGTCCTGCCACCCTGTGTAAACATATGGAGAAACTATAAGTCTGCTGCACATTGGTGATTGTTTCAAATAAACCCTCAATGACAGCAAGATAATTTTTTTTAATTTAAGAAGTTTTCCTATCAATCACTGAAATGGCTATCCGTCACTTTAAAACCTATTACATTTTATCACTTTGTGTATGTATAGATATTTTACTAGTTGTAAAAGTTGAAGCTTAATTTTAAAAATCCCTGCCGTACGTGGCTAATGGGCCCCCAAAAATTAAAAGCCAAGAAATCAGATAATATCTCAGGATAGTAGAAATTTCTCAACAATCATTAACTGTCCCTCAATCTTTACATGAGATGATTGCCATGTCAGTACTTACCTCATCCCTCGCCTCTAAATCAGCGTCATGTTGAATCAGCAGCTCCACCACCCCAGTCTGGCCGTTTGAGCTGGCCATATGCAGTGCGGTCCTGCCATACTATGGAAACACACGGAGAAACTACAACTCTACTGCGCATTGGTTGGTATACACATGTACTAGTATGCAGGCCCTCAAGGATGGCAAGATAGAATTTTTAGTTTAAGAAGAAAGTGCTTTTAAAGTTGACAATTGTTATGAGCATAGTATATGAAAAAATATATAATAAATTTTATGGCTATTCATCACTTTAAACCTGAACGTTTTTATTTTGTCTCATATAGGTATATCGGTATATAACAATTTTCGTAAACTTATTGAAAAGTTCCTACTAAATTTAAACCCCTGTCGTAAGTGGCTAATGGGCCCCCAAAAATTAAAAGTCAAGAAATCAGATAATATTCTCAGGATAGTAGACATTTATCAATAGTCATGAACTGTCCCTTTATTCTAATGCTAACTACATGAGATGGTCGCCTGTACTTACCTCATCACTGGCCTGCACATCGGCGCGATGTTGAATCAGCAGCTTCACTACCCCAGTCTGGCCGTTTGAGCTGGCCACATGGAGTGCGGTCCTGCCAACCTGTGTAAACACACGGAGAAACTTCAAGTCCTAAACTTTATTACTTTGTCACATATAGATATGTATACATAAGATACATAACAATTTGCTTTAGTTGAAAAATTAAAGCCCTGTCGTACGTGGCTAATGGGCCCCAAAATTAAAAGTAAAAAAAAAATCAGATAATATTCTCAGGGTGCTAGATATTTCTCAATAGTCATAAATTGTCCCTTAATTCTATCTACATGAGATGATTGTCTGTACTTACCTTGTCCCTTGCCTCCAGATTAGCGTCATGTTGAATCAGTAGCTCCACTACCCCAGTCTTCCCGATCAAGCTGACCAGATGGAGTGCGGTCCTACCATTCTATGTAAACACACGGAGAAACTATAACTCTACTGGGCCACGTCGATTGCTTCAAAGAGACCCTCAAGGACAGCAAAATAAAATTCTAATTTTTAGAAAAATTACCTTTACGATTAAATGAAACATTCATTTAAGGAAGTGGGTAGTTTCTATTTTATTGCAAATCACGCCGACTTATGTTTTTGTATAATCGGATAAAACTTGAACGATTAAAATGTCATTTAGATGCTATCACCTAAACACAACACTTGCCAGTTTCTAAATTGATGTAACGGGATAGGTGCTTGTACTAAACGTTGAAGAGATTATTAGCGGTTACGTGTGGTAAAGAATTGCGTCACGTCTTATTTCTTTATGGCAATGTAACCGACACCAAAGCATGGAACGACCCAAGCATGGAAGGACTCAATGTGATGCTCAGCGAAAGCCGGGATCCACCTTGTAGAAAAAAAAGTGATGGAAACGCTAACATCCCAAAGCCAATCGGCATAGCACACATAAGCTGCATACGCAGTTACCCGTGTCAAACTCTGATTGACGTCCCTCCCCGCCAGAAGACCCGTCTCCACAGTCTGCACGTCTCCCGCCCTCAGAGCCCTCCAAAACTCGCCATCGTCCATAGCAGGTTGTTACTCCGGATACCTGTCGTGCAAAAGTAGAATACAACACCTTTTATCAGTGCTGACATGTTTGCAAACCTTTATTGCAAAAAATACCTCTGAGCCAACTGCAATGTATGAATTAAGGGTTAATGACCCGCCCCGAGCCGAGGTGAATATGGTGTGTTAAAGCCTTGTCAGTTGCTATAACCACTGAATAAAGCCACCGAGTGAACGCAGCTATTATCATATAGACTATCAAAACTTACACAGTAAAGAGTGCTTTGCCATAACCGATCATCCAAGAGAATTTTTTTGTAGGCTGTCATTAGAATAAGTCCAGCGTGTCGTGAACTTTGATCAGTCTGAGTTTCAACATAGCATTTGATCGGTTATGGCAAAGCACTGATTAGCTATGGGGTATGGTGTTCTTTCCATACTAGTTGATAAACTAGGCTCCCTAACTGGAAAGGCGTCGATCATCTTAACTCGTTTACGCGTTTACATTCGTCGTACAACCGCACTAGCCTACTTTTCAGGCGTTCCAGCAACGATCAGTGTTTCTTTTTTAAGGAGGGTTGTTGATTTTTCTCGATATGGTCTGCCGTGTTTTTTTTTTGGGGGGGGGGTCTCATCGCACACGCTTAGAACTCTGACCGCCTTCCCCAAAAAGAAAATAAATGCTGACCGCCACCCGAACGCCTACAAAGGAGGCTACTCCGTACTTGTGATAGGAATATATCACTGAACCGACCGTCCACGGTACGGTGAATGGCCGACAATAACCTTTGATACGTCACAAGATGGCGTTATAAATCCACAATAATGAACTCGATTTTCTATTGCTATTATTATCAAAGTATCGGACGACCAGATCACAGGTGTACATTGTCAAGCACATTGCAACTCACTATTTACAGCTTTTTAGGAAAATTGGTGACTATACGATAGGTTAACGTTTGGTCCTACTTAGAGACAAGCCTGGGCGCCAGACTATCTACACACAGGCCAGTTGCTTGCCTCCAGGGCCAACATGCCCCAGGGAAAGTATACCACAGCACACTCATCATCTGTTATAGACTATGATGGCTACCTAATACTGAGGCGTCGGACTATGGTCGGAGCTGACAGCGTTACGCTATGTGGTGTTTCGTAGGCTGCTGACCACATCAGGATATCGGCTTTTTAACGACATTTTTGCAGATTTAACTTTATTTAGCCTTAGTCTTGCGGATTACCAGAGGGTATTTTGACAATTTCTTTGATTTCGAATTCGTGCAAACAATGTGTGCAAAAAATGCTTAAAACTGTCAGAAAAGTCTTCTTTTATTCAAGTTATTGTGGGTAGGCAAAAGGCCCGCTCATACAAGGCATCACAAAGATGTTATCTGTTACTCCCCCTAAGATTACTCTATCAAATAGTCGTTTCAAAGTGGGTACATGCCTTTTTGATAACATCGATATTCTTTTACCAAAAAGTGTCATTTTCACCCAAAATATAGGAGATTGAAAATTTTCGTACAGTGATCGTTTAGATATGTCTTATTTACATCACCTGGCAAAATTTCGTTGAAAACAGATGGATACATCAAAACTTACGGGCATATAACTGCTAACGCAGCCAACCCCCATGTGCCACATTCAGCAACAGGCCTGAGTTGCGTCTACGAATACTGCACTCACCGAACATATCGAAAACTGCTTAAAGTATCTCATGTATCTCTAACAATAAACATAATAAAACTCACTGTCGCGACTGCACTTGAGCCTGTTTCTGCCTCTACCCGAAGCAAAACATGAGTCAGCTTTGTACGACCCACCCCAAAATGGCGGTCTCACACACGTGCACGTGTAACAACTTCCGCGTTTTAGTGAATAAGTAACCACTGTGGCCGCGTCGCCTGTGGGCAACGGGTGAGAGTTCATATATGCCATACTTGTACGAGTATCCTGCACAATTGTTGTGCAATAGAGTTATTTACTGAGTGACCGAGGCCTAAAACTAGTCCGTCGTAGTACATATATACCTTGATCACATTACAGGAAAATCGGTTGTCATAAAGTCATTTTGCAACAACTGCAAGCGCGCGTTAAACTGATCCCAAATTTAAAATCACGTCTTGTATGTTAATGTATATCTCACTAACAGGTATCTATGTAACTATCAGAAGTGGTCACAGTCTTGGCAGAAGTGAAATTTTCGCTGTCGGATACAATACCTTGCGAATGAACACCAAGCAGACGTCACGATCGTAACTTGAAGGATTGCCACAGTATACATACGACCACGTCTTCCAAAAACATGATATTACAATCAGGGTTTACGCAAGAAGCTTTTAAGAGCAAATGTCTGTAAGGATCAAACAATGGTGGCAGGGGTAAAAAAATCGATTTGGCTCAAATTTTGCACAGTGATAGTACTTGGCCCACAACCCCTCAAAATATCTTTCTTTCTGCTCCACACCGATCGTTGCCATGGTAACAGCCCAAACATGTTTTAGGGCCATTTTTCATGATTTGGGCATGCCAGAAACATGAAAATTGCCAAAGTTTAGGGCGCGATTACAAACAAATGCTTGAATATATCGGAAAGACAACTTATCTGCTTTTCTAAAATAGCTTTAAAATTTTCAAGAGGTCAGTTTTAAGGGTCTGGGCATCCCTAAGACAAGACAGTGTTTTGGGCTTTTGAAATATCCCTATTTCTGCCCATTTTTGAAGCGCTGTAACTCCAAAGATGGTGATTTTTTTTCTTTCAAAATGTAATAACAGATACATAATCATATGTGCTATAAAATGAATGTTTGTAAAGTTTGACCAATTGTTTGGTTCTCACGTGGTTGTCCTGAAGTCATATTTTACATTTCAAGAAAAAATACAACTTTTTGTCATATTTAAGATACAATATATACAATACGAAAACAGCAATCTAATACTACTTTAGATAATAAGTATAATAATCCTATTAATAGTCTATCAAATGAATGATTGTGGAGGTTGGAGTCTTGTTTCGTTGCTGTGTACTTGTCCCTGAAAGTAGGCCATATTTTGGACATGTGTTAAAATTATCATTTTGGGCTATCTTTGAAGCTTTACAACTGACAAAGTAGGATGTTATTTGAATCCAATCTTTGTAGGGTAGTACATACATGTATTGTGTATCAAATGATATCTTGTTGAGGTTGGAGTCTTGTCTCGTTGTTGTGTACTGTCCCTGAAAGTAGGCCATATTTTGGAGTATGCGGAATATTATCATGTTTGGCTAGCTTTGGAGCTTTATAACTGACAAAGTAGGATGTTATTTGAATCCAATCTTTGTAGAGTAGTAAATACGTCTATTGTGTATCGAATGAATTCTTGTTGAGGTTGGAGTCTTGTTTCGTCGCTGTGTAATTGTCCCAGAAAGTAGTGAGGAAAGTCGAAGTGAGGAAAGTCGTGTAAGAGCCTTTCCCAAGGTCGGTGGCATGTCAGGACTCGGACCCGGGACCGGAGCACTCTGCCGCTACGCCACACGACCCCTCATTGGTTTACGTAATCAATTTGACTCAATCCAGACTAATCTAGAGTTGCTTGTTGCACTCCACTGTGACAACAGAACGCCACAGAGGACGTGACCTACAACAACAACTACAACGGGACGAAACGCCCTTCCAAGGCCTTGTAAACTTCCTCACATGCCATGGACCAACAGGACACTGACTAGACCGAGTTAAGACTGAATCGAAGCCACTAAACAAACTGCATTAAAATTTGCTTTCCATTCTAGAACTATTCATATTTTTTTTGCAATTTCTTTTACTAAGTTAGAGATGCACTGCAACTTTTCATACTTGAGAATAAAAATTCCAAACACTTTTGCAACTGACTTTCATTATATTGTGTCGGGCATGTTGCATAGTGTAATCTCTGTGTACAATTTCAAAGAGACGTGATCATACAAACTGTCCAGACCTTCTGGGCCTATTTTCATGATCAAAATAAATTTCTTATTTGAGATCGGGAGGGCTCCCCCCTCCCCTTCTCGAAACAAAATGTTAAAAATCTGTCTTTGAAAATAAAAGAAAATCCTCGCATGAATTGTTTACCATACTTATTATGTACATTTCTATGAAATATCATTCGTAAATGCACATGCATCAACCACGTAAGCCAACTTTTCGGAAAATGGGCGTGGCCATATAACTTTGATGACGTCAAGAATATTTGCATAAACCATCACCTTCCAATAAGATAAATGTACTTACAAATCAAGGTACATTCTTAATTAGAGTTCTGGGAACCCATGCCTTCAGCAAGTTTAGACGTTGATTATGAAAAGTGCTACTATAACATACACACCATTAGCCTGGGTAACCATACCGCCGTGAGCTCAGCGCTATCCCTTTCGGCGCCGAGAGCGTTTGGGGCCGCTAACCAGGCCTCAATTACAGCGCTTCGGGCGATTAGGTTTCTTCGATCACAACGGGGTTGGTACCCTGTTGGAAAACGGCTAACGGCTAATTAATTAGCTCATCTACGGAATCTACGGCATCTACGGAACAAGGACAGCTTATTACAAACGTACAATAAAGGTCTTTCATTCATTCATCAATAAACCATAAACAACCCGGCAGGCCCGCGCGTAACCCGATCTGTATTGTGACATCCAGGCCGCCGTGCGCAGGGAATTAATATCAGCACCTAGTCTCTGACATGCCTTACTAATTCAAATCTAGCAGAAACAACCCAAATGGCGATAAAGCCGCCCGTGTAAGAAATCAACAGAAGACATTGTTTACGAGGTTTTTCTTTTGAATGTTCCTGATTTTGTCGGTAATATAGCCATATAGCCCCTTTATCATGTAATTCTACCGTTTATTTTACAATTTCCATGGGGAATATAATTGCCTTTTGACAAACCGTGACAAGGAATTCAGGCCGTTTTTCATGTTTTGAGAGGTCTGAGTCCCGGCCCAGGCAAGCTGGACCCTCTATGGCCGGCCAACTCCTCTGGCCAATGATTTCCCCCTTTGCCGATTTCT